GAGTTGCTGGAAAAGTGACGATATACTTATTCTAATAGACAGGTTATTTTTCTTGTGGCATTTAGAAAAGCATTTTTAATATCTATTATTATATTGTTTAATAATTTGTTTGTTGAAACGTTTATTTTATTATCTTTTTTTTTTCGTTTGAGTGAATGCGAATGCGAGAAAGCGAGCGGTGATAAAAAAATTTTCGAAAAAACGTTTCGGTTTATCGGCAACTTTTTATTTTCGACAACTGTTTGATGTTCGTTATAGGTTAGAAACTGAAACTAAAGCAAATTCTCCAAAACGTTGAAGAAGAAAAATAAGGAACAAAGCATACAAAAGTACTTCAGTTTTGTACATACATACATTTAAACGATAAGTTGCTTGTAAATATTCTGCAGTTGTAATAAAATAACAAAAACCAGCCTTTTACAGTGACATCTGGCGGTAAGTTTTACGCGCCACGCTTTTTCAATTATCTACAAACGATGAAGAAAAAAATGGAAAAAAGAAGTTGTATTTTTCTAACTGAAATTCTAGCTTGTACCTACCTACCTGCTATTAGCGGAAACAAAACTAAATATTTTTATAGCGATTTGCAAATCGAGTGGGACAAACCAATCAAATGGTAACTATCTTTAGTAAACTTACCTCCGTTTTTCACTGTAAACATTTTCTATAGGTCCACACATTACACCATAACCACAGAATGCAATAGTTGAAAAATTTTCCATAGTTCAACATGCTACTATTTAACAGAACAATATTCCTACGTGAATTTCCCAAAAAAGTGACTTTCAAGCATAATGCTTACAACATACATAATTACCAATTGTGACGTAATTTGGCCTAAGCCAACCCTGTTCCGATCAAGGACCAACAATGTACATATTACATAATAATAAATTAATAATGCAATAGCCCGGTTGCACTAAGTGCTTCAACACATTTTGCCCACCGCAATTACAGTCATGTAATTGCCAACAATAAAAAAAAAAGATATATTACAATAGCCCAATCAGGGGCGTACTGGGAAAATTCGTCGCACATACGCGCGATCGGTTTTCTTTGTACGTCACTGAATTCATACGTTTGGATTGCCCCGGAGGGCTCTAGCGGCCCTCCCTTTTATGTAATTTACATAAATATTATCGTCTAGTGCCCGAATGGACAAATATTTATCGTAAATTTACACACGAAATTATTTTGCAATAGCCCACAAACAACAAATGCAGAAATGCATCGTTTTTCAAACTTTTTCTACCGGTTTTATTTTAAAAACAATTTTCCTCAGTTTCTTATCAGCGCCGTCCAGACATTCGCGAAGAACCGAAAAATTTGCGGAACCAAAAAAATTAGCTGCTATACAATACAATTACATACTATAAATAAATAAATACGTCGATGTTCAATAAATAACAATAGTGCGTGTAAATTCTCAGCCCCAACCCCAACCCTATATGTTCCCCTTGCCTCTTTTCAACTTGACTGTATACTATTTAAATACTTATAATACTGGCTTACTTTATTAAGCAAGCAGTACCGTACCGTATTAATATTAAAGAAAGTAAGTGTTAAGTGACCGATGCATAGTTGATGATAAAAAAAAATAATTGAATAAAAGCCGTAAATTTGAGGTTCTCGTCGAAATGTTTAGATGGTTTTAAAACTTTTTGTTAACTGCAATAGCCTAAACGCATTATACAAGTATTTATAATGCTACACAACAATTCCGGTTTCCACACTTCAGTTTCCATTTTAACAATCGGGTGTTGTGAGAAGTGAGAGACGGTACTTCCCCCGAACACTCCGTTCTTTCTTTTTCCAACACTCGGTTAAACTTTTGTTCATTCAAAATCCGAAGTAACTTCAAATCATACAATACGCTAACACATCACACACACAAAAACACACACACACACATACATACATATATATACACAAACAGATTACACATCACTGGACAATATTTCGACACAAAAATTTATATAACAGACACAAACATTTAGGGCATTCAAAATTAATAAAACGATAATCACACCAACAACAACTTTAAACAAAATAAATTTTTAATGTATATGAAAAAAATGTCACTTTTGGGAAAAATCAATTTAGGCTCCATTCAGCAAAATTCTCGCTCCAAATTTCAACAGTTTGGTAGAAATATTACACATACATTTCTATTATAAAAATAAACACAATAGGTAAATGTTTTTGTTATGTTCGTTTGTTACAGTGTTATGTTACAATACGTATGTATACTATGCCATATTATTAAGTACAGCTTTAGACTGCCCGAGTGACTTGAAGAGAATTCGTCCAATTTGGAATAATAGGTGCTTGTTCGCACTAATCGCAAACCGCCGCGCGATAGCACTTGTCATAGAATACATTTAACATCGAAGTCTGATTGGTTACTGGGCGGGGACAACTGACTGTCTACGCTTGAAGTTTACGCGAAGCGAAGCCGCGCGGTGGTAACCGCTTATTGTGGGCAAGCAGTTTAATTTGCAATAAAGCATTTCAATGTAAACTAAAATAAATAGAAAACAGCTAAGATCTCTTCATTATTAATGTTATACGCCACATTGCTAGACAGTTATTAATTAATCTATAGAATAAATGTTCATTGTTAATAATAATACATGTAGCGCAATAGTTGACAAACCGTTTATGTTTAAGTTTCACATTCCAAGGGATTTTAGCTGCAGAGTTGTCTTCGAGTTGCTGGAAAACTGCGAAAATGTTTTGGAATTGACAACGAACGTTTGGGGTAGTTTTCGCGTATATTTTGGTCATATATGTATATGTGCTTTTTTTTACCGTTTCAGATCCAAATTATTTTATGATTCGAAAGAAAAAAAAAACGAAAATTAAAACGACAAATTTTTTTAAAAGACTGACGCAGTTTTCTTAAGGGCCGATTTGAAGGTATGACGAGCAAGAAAATGCCATAATAAACGAAATATTTGGGAAATAAACAAATCTTTCGTATATTTGAGCCTTTATAAATAGTTGTACTTTTAGGTTTTTCTACTGCTTACGGTTATTACTACTACCTATCTACTACTAACTTACATTAAATAATTGTACGTAACTGGATTGTTTTGAAGAAAATACAGCGACCTTTTGCACAAAAAACAAACAAATATTCATCGTTAATAAAGTAAATCAAAAACTAATCGCGAATTCTTATTTGTAAAGTCTGAAATGGAGCCTGTTAACAATAAAGATATTCTTCAGTATTTGTTATCGCAAAAATCTAAAAATACTTTTTCGGAAAATGAAGTTGAAAAATATATCGCAAAACGTCGTGTAATTTCCAAAAACAAGCTGTTTTAAAATAGGTCATCTTCCAACAAACTGTACATGTTCTACAGATCATAATTTTTTAGTTATTATTATTATAATTATATTATATTAATTAATTATTTATTGTTGCAGTAAATAATTAATTAATATNCAGTACATACAGTAATTATTCATATTATTATAATCGCTACTATTCTTTATTGTCATTAATTAATTAATTAATCAGTATTTTTATGCTTTTGTTATTTGTATGATATATTTTAACGAATTTTAAGTTGATGACGACTATCAAATCGATTGTAGAAAAAGACATCATTATTCTAATATTATTATTATTATTAATTACTACTAAGTAAGTTTAACTGCATGAAATACAACAACAGCAAGAAAAACGCCATTGTTTATTTAAAAAAAGAAAAATGACTGCCATTTAATTTTTACCTTTTTAGTTCCTACTTCATTCTTTTTTCCTTTTGAATCTGTAGACAAGTTACAGTGTTTTCTTTTTCGTTAGGGTGCATGATCGCGTGTGTGTAAAAATGTTTTGACTTTTTATTTTGTGTTTTCTGTATCTGTATCTCATCTACATTTGCAGGGGGTCCAAAGGTGGTTCCTTAACGATTTGTAGCTTTAAGGGTCTTCCACCCTACCCTCCGGCTTTGCACTAGCGTGTAGTCCGGAGAGTTAGCTCGTCCCAAAATGATGGGTAATTTTAAATTTTTTTAGCTTTAATTTATAGTTTAATGGCTCAAGGAATATTGAGAATAAATTGTATAATAGATAAAAAAGACCATTATAAAATTTTATGAATACCAGCCTAATGGATTTGGACGCTCTGAAAATCTAGCCAAATTTTTATATTACGTTATACTATTAATTAATTATCTACTTAATAAGGTCACTGTTATCGTTGTATTGTTTTCTTTCTTAAAATTACTTGTTCATGTATAAAATAAAACGAAAAAAAAGAATAAAATACCACAAGCACATTTTACGTTAATTAATTAATTAAATACCTGTAAATTAAAGGAGAGTGTTAATTGTTTTCGAAAACTAAATGAAATTAAAACGACGATGAATTAATTGTATGTAACTGAAAGTAAAATGTGTTGTGGGATTTTTTAGAACTGATTGATAATTTTTAAGATGTCGTCTTTACGAGAGGTGAAACTAAGGCATTTGAAAAGAAAACATAAATTATTTGTAAAAGTTTAATATTGAAATACGTTTGTGTTCTAGTATAAAATACTTTGCAATGTTTTATTGAATCAAATTTCATGTATGCCATGTATGTGAGAAACTGATGTATTCTACTTACTGGAAAATAAAAATTAGAAATAAAATCAATGTGTTTTCTTTCTACTTAATACATTTAACAATCATTAACAATAAATGTTAAGGTTAATCTTTAGATGAAATACTTTTATAAAAACACTACGAATTCTGTTTCATGAATTTCTGTTTGTATTATAATAATTATTTATAAATTACAAAAATTAAAAATATATTGCAGGAATATGGTATTACTCCTATCATCATCATCATCATCATAAGGTCGTCAGTCCTAAGACTGGTTGGACACGCACCTCCACTCCTTCCTATCCCGAGCTAATCTTTACATTTCCCTAAAACTAGAACACCCACATCCTTAACTATTTGCGAACAGTAATCTAATCTAGGTCTACCTCTACCCCTCCTAACTCCTGTTTCTGCCTCTAATATGTCTCTGACTAGACCTTCATGCCTGAGAAGGTGTCCTACCAACCTATCTCGCCTATTTTTTATTGACTTCCTCTGTTCTCCTATTCTTTCCAATACCTCTTCATTTCTAACCTTTTCTACCCACGATATCCTCATCATCCGCCTATAACACCACATTTCGAACGCTTCTAACCTTTTCTTTTCCGCCGCTCCCACTGTCCATGTTTCGCACCCGTACAGTACCGTGCTCCAAACATACACCTTTAACAACCTTTTTCGAACTTCTACATTAACCGTTCGCGAGCATAGAAGTGACTTCTTTTTATTAAAGGCGACACGACCCTGCGCTATCGTCTGCCTTATATCCCTACTACTCCTTCCATCCTGACTTATCTGACTTCCTAGATACCTAAAATCAGTCACTTCTTCTAATTTTTCGTCTCCTATATGTTCCCCTTGCCTCTTTTCAACTTGACTGTATACTATTTAAATACTTATAATACTGGCTTACTTTATTAAGCAAGCAGTACCGTACCGTATTAATATTAAAGAAAGTAAGTGTTAAGTGACCGATGCATAGTTGATGATAAAAAAAAATAATTGAATAAAAGCCGTAAATTTGAGGTTCTCGTCGAAATGTTTAGATGGTTTTAAAACTTTTTGTTAACTGCAATAGCCTAAACGCATTATACAAGTATTTATAATGCTACACAACAATTCCGGTTTCCACACTTCAGTTTCCATTTTAACAATCGGGTGTTGTGAGAAGTGAGAGACGGTACTTCCCCCGAACACTCCGTTCTTTCTTTTTCCAACACTCGGTTAAACTTTTGTTCATTCAAAATCCGAAGTAACTTCAAATCATACAATACGCTAACACATCACACACACAAAAACACACACACACACATACATACATATATATACACAAACAGATTACACATCACTGGACAATATTTCGACACAAAAATTTATATAACAGACACAAACATTTAGGGCATTCAAAATTAATAAAACGATAATCACACCAACAACAACTTTAAACAAAATAAATTTTTAATGTATATGAAAAAAATGTCACTTTTGGGAAAAATCAATTTAGGCTCCATTCAGCAAAATTCTCGCTCCAAATTTCAACAGTTTGGTAGAAATATTACACATACATTTCTATTATAAAAATAAACACAATAGGTAAATGTTTTTGTTATGTTCGTTTGTTACAGTGTTATGTTACAATACGTATGTATACTATGCCATATTATTAAGTACAGCTTTAGACTGCCCGAGTGACTTGAAGAGAATTCGTCCAATTTGGAATAATAGGTGCTTGTTCGCACTAATCGCAAACCGCCGCGCGATAGCACTTGTCATAGAATACATTTAACATCGAAGTCTGATTGGTTACTGGGCGGGGACAACTGACTGTCTACGCTTGAAGTTTACGCGAAGCGAAGCCGNTAATTGGTAATATATTATATTAAAAGTACGCAGAAAATAATAATAAATCAAAATAAACTTGTACTTCCAATCACTGGTCACACTTTTACCACTAATTGAGTCATTTAGTTAACATCAGTTACCATTTTCACTGTTTACGAACCATATATAAGTCCCCAATTGGCCACTAATATACCTAGGTGCCAAAATCGCTTTATCGATTTGTTTCTGTAGGTCAATACCATCCATAGAAAGGCTGATGACCAAACGCTTTACCAGCGTTATGATGAGGGCTGTAACTATGAATTGCAGGATTGTGTAAACCGTTTTGCCCAAAACTGGTTAGACTCTGGGTGTGAACTCCCAACGGTTGGCTAAGTTGTCCGATTCCTCCTGAAAGGACTTGGTTAACACCGCAAGGACTTGTGGTACGATTCATCGAATTCGGGCTTGACCATTGGTTCGGTATGTGGACGTTGTTGTTATTGTTATTGTTAGAAATTACAGCGTCGTTGGTACATGGTGACTCGTTACCGTTACTGTTACCTGAAGGTAGAAATGAAGATGATTGTCCTCAATATTATCGAGACACACGGAAATGGGATTGAATAATACAACTTTAATTTCAAACACAAAGGACTTCAAATTTGTTAGGTATAAGTACTTAAGAGAAATTCATTAAAAAAGATTACGGGACAGTAATATCAAAGTTTGAAGATAGCACAAAATGGACGAACAAAACTAATTAAGAATAATGTCGATAATGCAAGAATAGCTTTAATAGTTCTTCATAGAAATAGAATCGTTTTCTACCTATGTAAAATCCTCCTCACACGTAGGTTCAAAACTGTTATATTACCTATTACTACCTAATATGAAGATTGGAAAAACTTTGGCGGTTGTTGAAGAAGGTAACTTTGTTACCGAAAAGTGCTTCGGACAACTACAGTGTCGTGTTTTGGCGTTGGGGTTTTGAGCTATTCTGTTTGTTCTACTATTACTACCTTTCATGAAACAGGATGTGAATGAGTAAAAAGTTGAAACTTACTGCTATTAGGTCCGAGCATGGTGAGCATGGGGTTGGTTGGAGAAGGCATGTTGGGATAGACGCCGACATGTTGTTGAGCTCCAGGACTGGCCGAGTTTCGGAGGTTACCCTCCTCCTTGTATCCAGTGTTATTATTTTGATTCAAATTTTCTATTCCACCACCCACGGGAGTCATGTTGTTTGAAGAGGGTGATACGCTCGGCTGAATATTGGACGACATACTCGACGGGGTTGTTATCGATTGAGATATTGGCATGATGGTCGACGGATATACTGAATGAGAAGGGTAAGGGTTATGTGAGTGTGACGAGAGGGGTAAATTCGGGGATGAAGAATGGGCGGAACCATGGCTAGGGTACAATTCTGTCACTAAAGAACAAAAATGAATAAATAAATAATGGATACGTACTTAAAATTTGAAATAGATTTAGATTTAGTAGAACTTACTTTGACTTCCCGAAGTGGCTGGGGTTGTTGGAAAGCTGCCCTCACCTAAGGGTTGACCCAGAGGCGGATAGGGGGCTGTTGGACCCGAATAGGGGTTTCCCACAACTCCCAACGATGAATAAGACGACGAAGAACTAGATGCCAATTGCTTTCTGAGACGAGCACGTCGATTACTGAACCAAACCTTTAAAAAGGAATCTTATTTTGAAAGAATCGCTTGAAATTCAATTTCAAATTTATTTATATTAGATGAAGGAATCCTATCTTTATTAAATAATTAAAAATTACATTATAATACATGTAATCTTCATTTTCGTGTTTAATAGGTGCAACAATCCTAATAGTACGTACTTGTATTCTGGCTTCCGTCAATTTGGTTCTTTGAGCCAATTCCTCTCTGGTATAAATATCTGGATACTGTGTTCTTTCGAATGCTTTCTCCAGTTCGTCCAGTTGGTGTGCAGTGAATGTGGTGCGAGACCTTCTTTGCTTTCTTTTTAGGGGAATACCCGGCTCGCTTTCACAGTCTGAACCATTTTCATTGTCGGACGATTTTTCTAAAAAAGAAGAAAAAATTTTTTTTATTGTATATATTCATTTTATTACACAGAGAGCCGATGTAGAGATGAGTTGCAGAAAAAAATTAAAAGAAACAAATTTGGATCATATTATCGATAAATCATATGACGTATCCAGTATACGTAATAAGTCAGCAGATTTCTATAGTGAAAAAGACTCGCAATAATAATTGCTATTTTAATAACATAAATTTCCTTGAAATATCAAAATGCAATTTTCGGTGTAATAATAATCAGAAGATAACTATGTAATTATATAGAATAAAAACAATTAACTCCTATCTACATTGATAAATAAAAAATAATGAAAAAGTTGAACGACAATGGGCACGGAGTTCATCAAAAATGATTTACGAGATTAGTTTTAAACAATTACACAATGAACAATATATAGTTTATCACAGAGGCAGATACAATTAAGAAATACTGCTTGGTTTTAAAACGTGAACATTTTGTATTAGCTAAACTGGAATCATTAATTGAGTAAAATTGGAAACAAATATTCTTATTTTTCTTATAATTAATATATTAAATTGAACGCGAAACTAAATCGTGAAGCCAGCTAAAGGGGGTAATACAAATACGCCTCGATAATACCAATGCACATATTAGTTGCCTTAGTTGCTCTCTCTTACAAAAAGGAGTTGCAATTTTTATATACAAATATCGAACTCTGTTTTCTTCCAGACTTTCCTGGCTTATCTGCCTTCCTGGATACCTAAAATCAGTCACTTCTTCTAATCTTTCGTCTCCTATCTTTACATTCGCTCTTTCCATACTTTTTCTTCCCTTACATACCAGTATTTTTGTTTTAGCTTTTATTTTATTTGATGCTATCTCTAACTCTTCCTTGCTAGATGCTATTACTGCTATATCATCTGCAAATCTAAGTATGCTAATCTTTTGCCCCTCTATATCTATCCCTATAGTTGTATTGTCTTTAATGATGTTGATCGTGTCTTCGATGTATAGATTAATAAAAAGTAGTGGTGACAGTGTGCGTCCCTGTCTGATTCCCTTCTTAATATTTACTTCTCTGCGTTGCTTCTCCAGCTCGATAACTGCCTGTTGCTCTTTATACAAACTAAATATCACTCTTCTATATCTGTAACTCATTCCTAAATTCTTAAGTATATTTAACATCTTGTCCCATTTAACACTGTTAAAAGCGATCTTTCTTTTTTTCTATCGCGTTCCTTTAATTCTTCCAATCCCAAATTGATCTTCCCCTAATAGTTCTTCCGCCCTTTTTTCATCTTTCCCTGTACTATTCTAGTTAAGACTTTTGACGATTTTTTTGACGTGACAACGTCTTATAATTCGATGGAGCCGACTGCACGCACGAAAAAACATGACTCATGCGGCATTACCTCGCTCTGAGGCGTTCCATTTAAGGGTTGAAGTGCAAGCGAGAGCGCGGAACGAGCGACAAAGAGGCACAATCGGCCTCCGCGTTCGGCAGCGTTCGACATCTGTCTCTCTCCTACTTGAGTGAGCGATGCGTCCGCGTGGACAGCTGCTATACAATAATACATTACCATTTACCTCCTTCTCTATATCCATACAAAATATCTATCAAACAAATAAAATTAAAATTTTCTTTTGAAAAATGAAACCATTCCATCAGTATTTTCTTATGACGTTGTCACGTTCAACTATCGTCAGTAAACCGACTTTACAGACAACCGATTTTTTTTAGGTATGATTACTACTACGTTCCATTTATAATTCTCCAGGACTTCCCCGTCTCGTAAATTTCCGCCTGTATCCCATCTGTACCTGGTACCCTATTATTCTTTAAGTTTTTTAATTTACGTATGGTATAATAAAAATCATCGGGATTGAATCTACACTGAAATTTTGACAAAGGGCTATTTTCAAAATTTGTATGCTCCTTTTTTAACCAAATCGATATTAAAATTCAATTCTTAATTTTTGTCATTTTGCCTAAGGCTTCTTAACTTGTAAGCTTACAACACGGCATTGTTAACAATAATATAGCCGGTTATCTTTAATTATTTAATTAACTCTCCGTGTTATTTACCATCAGCTCTTTGTGTTCCTTTTCGCTACTTTGTTAGGTTCTAAACATTGTATACCACAAAAGTAAATATTTTTTTGTTGAGCGTTTCAAAAAGCGAGCGGTAGCAAAATACAATTTGTTACATCATTCTTGAGTTGTTATACTCCGCTTTTGAAGCAGCCGACTCCTATATTGGATGCCTTTTGATCTGAGCCGATCGAAGGTAGCAGCAGAAAAAGCTCACTAGCAAAGAGTAGCAGAAACAATGGAGAAACAGTGCAGTCGTGGCTAACTGGATTCTCACACCGAACAATCAAGGACTACAACGTATTATACCTAACAAGCACTGGTTATAGGTATTCAACTCGAAATATTCAAAAAGTGTGAATAAGTAGGTTTATAAACAGTTTTTACAGATTTTCAACTGTGTTTATTCTTATGTTCTTATAATATTAATAAAAAAATTCATTCGCCCTCTCCAGAAATTGAACCCGGAACTAGTGCTTAAATTACTACGAGAGATGGCAGCAGCAACAACGACAAAACGTACTTATTAGATTACAAATTCGTCGAATTAGTGTATATGTTAACGGAAATGTGTGTAATCCGTCATTGTATACAATTCCTAAGAAACGTATATAATTCCTAAAATCGCCAGGAAATGTGTAAAATAAATTATATTAGACACATTTCCTAGGAAATCTATACATTTCCTAAATAGCAATCGGAAATGTATTACATTGAAGATGTCATTGGATACGCGGGGATAGCGGAACGGGTGGAGGGTATTACGTAATCCGATCGTGCGATTTATTGTAATCACAGATAACTCTGATTCTCAGTTTACTAACGTGTTTTATTCATTTTATTCACAGAAAACATTTGTTTCATACATTTCCTAGTACAATATCGGAATTTCATACAATTCCTAGGAAATCTATATAGATACATTTTCCAGGATATGTATGTATTAAAAAAATATTTTATAGATTTCCTAAATAGCCTCGGAATTGTATACAATTCCTACATTTCATACATTTCCGATAACATATATATTTATTAATATCCTATGACATATTTTAAGAAACTTAAATTTAAACTTCCTAAATGCAGTCTGAGTTAATGGTGGTGCACACTGTATGTTCCGTGTCCGTTCCATATTCATTCCGTAAACGTTTCGTCAATTATTGTATACATAATTTGAATCTAATCAAGATACATGTTCATGGTCGTACCCACCTTCCACTCCAACGAACCGTATTTTGGACCTACTGATCGCAAACAAATATTTTTAATAGCTGATGGTTATTTTATACATTTAATCTACATAAAATAAATAAAGATTTACATAAAATAGCACTACATGTTAACCTTCTTAAGCTTAATTCCTTTGAATCTTACGAATTAATAAATTTCATCTTAATCTCCTGGCGCCTCCACCATTTTTTCATATATGATAATTTTATTTTTCCGTTATAATCTTATCTTCAGGATACAGATAGGAGATTAAGACGCCAGTTAGATTTTTGGTTCATTTACTTTGGTCCAAGTTGTTCTATTGTTTCTTTGGATCACTTAGACAAAAAATAGATCAGCGATAATCCACAGATAATCTTTCACTCGTCTTCTGGCTTCATTTTCTCCGTCGCATTTGTCTCTCTCGATCCATTCCGAAGATTCCGAAAAAGATGGCGAAGAATGTCTTCCGCGTTATCCACCAGCTTTGCACCACAGTGTAGACCCGAAGGACTGGTGGGAGTTGAATACACCTATACCAAGTTTTTTTTTGACAGTCCACTGATTTCGATAAATTCTGTCTTCATTTTGTCCGTCGCATTTGTCTTTCTCGATTAAACACCTATACCAAGTCTTTTGACGTGACAACGTCTTATAATTCGATGGAGCCGGCTGCACGCACGAAAAAACATGACTCATGCGGCGTTACCTCGGTCTGAGGCGTTCCATTTAAGGGTTGAAGTGCAAGCGAGAGCGCGGAACGAGCGACAAAGAGGCACAATCGGCCTCCGCGTTCGGCAGCGTTCGACATCTGTCTCTCTCCTACTTGAGTGAGCGATGCTTTCGCGTGGACAGCTGCTATACAATAATACATTACCATTTACCTCCTTCTCTATATCCATACAAAATATCTATCAAACAAATAAAATTAAAATTTTCTTTTGAAAAATGAAACCATTCCATCAGTATTTTCTTAAGACGTTGTCACGTTCAACTATCGTCAGTAAACCGACTTTACAGACAACCGATTTTTTTTTTTTGACAGTCCATTGATTTCGATAAATTATTGATCAAAACTTTCATAATTCGTTATACTTTTCTAGAAGCTATTAACGAATTGCGATTATGTTCAATGCCATTACCTATTTTCTTGCATCTTCTTCTGCAAAATACCTGAAGTAGAACCAGCGAAATGAACCTGCAGGCAATTTCTGCATCCTTTGTAATTATTAATCATATCATTAGCTAGCCGCGTGGTTGGATGAAACGGTAGCTTGGTTACCATAGAAAATTATAAAGTCATCCCTTTGTAATTCCACCACATACGTACACATACAACCTACCTGATATCCATTTGTACAAGAACAACAACGACGTGTTCGTGGGGTTCAGTTGTCGGCACTGTTTGGGATAGAGACCACCTGGTGCGCCCTTGCCGTCGGTCGGACAAAGACTGGAACGCAATCTAACACCCCGGCCGGCATTTTCGAGGTGACTAATTACAAGGGTATCCTGTTACTCACTTGACGGATTTCGGTTTGTTTACGGGGTCTCAAACAACTCGATCCGAAAACATGACGGTTCCGATCGCCGTCACTCGCGCTCATTCCGAGACGATTATGATTAATGGCCTTTTTTTTATTATTATTATTTTTTCGAAACGATTCTTTTGATTTTAATGTTCTCGGTTATTTAATCTACTACAGCAACTCGCAAAAAAAAAGAAGACGAAACACTGCATACTGCACATCAGTGAGGTCAAAAACGTTGGAACATAAATTTCAAAAGAAATCGATCTTAGATTTTCCGGGAAAACTCTTGAATAATTCAAATTGTATTTTTAACCAAAAATAATTAAACGAAAACTACCATTTCTCATTCCGTTGGTGATATATGTTCCAGTTTTTGAGAAATGCGAAAATTGACTGAGCACAGAGGAGTGTGTCGATCATCCAGTCTTCAGACTGATGCCCATTTGGTGATAACGATTATGATAATCACACTTTACATCAGTCAAAGTTAAGCTTTTCGTACTAAAGGTTAAACATAATCAATTTTTCTTCAAATTATATTGTAGAGAATATGAAACCCTGGGTGGATGATGTAAAGTAAGACTGGTCAAATACTTGAATCCAGAAATATATGGAATCTTGTCTGATCTAATCAATCAGGGCGAGGAATCCATAGTTCTAAGGGGTTGAACAGACTAATTTTTCGGATCCACAGACCCAGCAGTGAATACCAGGATGGTTAAAACTGTATCTTTAGCTCGATCCGCGTACAAATTCACTGGTCCATATTATATTAAAACAAGACAATAATCAGGGTCTAGATCCTTGAGTCCGTTGGGAAGGACGCTCTCCAGGGAGTTCAATAGGTCGCATCTAACTTTCATTTCACTCAAAAGAATCTGATCAATACTTTGTGTCTTCAAGTGAGAATTTCGTAAAAACCGTAGTCGTATCGAACCGTCGAGGATGTCAAGAAGGGCGGTGTCAACAAATGGACCGCGAACGTGATGCCAAAACTCCAGGGTCATGCAATGTTTATGTTAAAGACACATCTCGTGAGACAACTACTAGGTCGTAAAAATAGGTAATATATCTAAATTGAGTATAATAATTTCAAAATTTAATTTTTAACATTGTTTATTTGGTCTGTACTAGATAATTTGTACTGTCACTGGAGTTTTATCTCCCAATGTTATTAATTTTGGAGATACGAATAAACAACAGTATTTTACGCACCAAGGGAAGAAAGTACCTACAGCTTTCGCTCTCGGATGTGAATGGTCATTCCGGGTCAAAAGAGAAAACGACGAACTCCTAGATGGGGTATCGTACTTTCTTCCCGAAGCAGCTCGCATACGATTTTTTACCACACCTACTTCTGTCCCTGGTTTCAGAGATCAAATCATACATCATAATCTCCTAGGTTAGGTAGAGGTATTAGGAAATCCTTGTGGAAAACGAGGGTAAAAATTACACCAAGAGTGGTAAAAACGTTTTTTTATATCGATTTCTGGCCCTAGAAGGAATGCTGAACATTCGTTCCTGTCAGAGGAAAAATATCGTAGGTGCTTTCGGTAGGGATAGTAATATTTAGTAAAATCTGTAATTACCATTAGTACTAATAGTGCTTTTCAACATCATATTATAAGTGGAGACAGTTTTAATTTTTATTTTATTTATTTATTTTTTATTTATTTATTGGAAATTGTAATTATCTGCCTATTTCCAATGACAAAAAAACGTTAGCACGTGTTACCGTATTAATAATTTAAAAAACTATTTGAGTAGGTATATAGGATTGGGTTTTCCACGCACGAAACGGTGTGAGAAATGGACCATATTATTAAAGGTTTACAACACTTCCGTTAACAATTTGTACATGTCAAATCCCATTAAGGCCAGAAAGAGGGAGTTTTTATATAATCACCGGCACAAAAAATTCGCCACCCCTAATCGAATCGAATGAAATATATCCTACCCTCGACACTCATGTCTACAATATGATTATTTCATAATACCTGCATTGGGTGCCTATGTCTAAACCGTTAGTATTTGTTCTTCGTTATAAACGAAGGTATTTTATGTTTTTATGCCAACCAAATTGTTTTTTTGCGCTCTATTATGTTGTAAAAGGTTCTCGGTAGTCGTCTGTAACGATTTTACCTAAACTGAATTCGAATACAGCCTCAAAAACTACTTTATAGTGCAATTTAAATTGGAGACTCCAACGTTGCGGCAAGCGAGAAACCCCTTATTGAAATTTTAAATTTATTTGTGTTAAAAATACACAACAAATATCAACATGTAGGTTCATATACATACTAAATTCTGAAATTTACATCTTTAAATTATCAGAATTTTGCAAATTTTATTGTTTTAATTAACTTTCTTTTCTCGAAGCGTAACTAAACTCCGTTGGTTGCTAATTAAAACTTGAGGATGTCACGATACGGAAAATATAAAATAAAAAAGACAGTAAATATGTCACTATCAAGCCTTTTAATACAATAAATCCCGTGTCCGTTTGGCTACACCCATGGCCGCCTCGATTTCAATACACGTTTGACCTTCCAATTAATAAAACACAGCCTTTACGGCACTAATAACAATTATTTAATACTTTTGTACAAACACAAGTGCTATAATTCGCCTTCTTCCTTCGTCGGTTATTCCCCACCACCTACAATCATATCACCCTTGGCTCTATATCCAGTTCGAAACAAACGCGACAGAGCCTGCCGCGATTTTATTCGTGTGTATGTGTGGATGTTGTGTAGTCGTCCGACCGGCACAGTCGATTGTTATTTGTTTTGTCATTATATTGTGCCGGTGCAGCGTGTGCTTGCTCGAGTGTAGACAATTGCCGGTGTGACAGTTAACTGACATGGCCGCCGTTCAGTTTCAAAATGGCGGCGACGCGCATTTTTACTGCACCAGCGAAGCGCGTAATTTCACAACTAACAATCGCGTTGACATCGGCCGGCGAAGGGTAACCCGGTAAGGTAATAACATCATGTGAGAGAAAATATATGTGCATTTAGTGTATGAAGGATTCAACGAAATTAAGCTGAAAATCTCTGAATTAGATGCAGCCTTGGGACGGGTTCTCATCAGTAGTTATATCAAATACATTTTTTAAGATAAAAATGAAAGGAATCTGTAAAAACAAGAATATATATGACCAAAAAGGTCGTAGTAGGTAATTCCATTAGTTTACGAATGAATTCCTTTATCCTTGTCTTTAAAGGATTCTCATTTGGAAGCCAGTCATATAACACTATGGAAAGAAGAACTGATACGTAAAGTACATTTTTCCAAAAAATTTTTAATGGGGTTGGAATAATTTTTCTCCGCGAGGGCCACATGCGGCATTCCTGATGATGCACAAATGTGGCAAAGCGTTATATGCTTCTTCCTTGCCCTTGGGGGCAACCTCATGGGGCCCATAAGACGTAGTGTGGCTACCCACTTAGGGGCTCCTGCACACCCCTCAAAATTCTAATCAGAACCGTGTCTTATCTCATTCATGTACAAATACAAACAGGTATTTTATTTATTTACTGTTTGACAATTATTTCTAAATCTACTCAACAATTTCAAAAGAATATCGAAAAAATGTTTGATTTGATTCGAAAGCTTCATTCGTTTCAAAAAACCGTTTGGATTCTTCGAATTGAAGTCAATTTAGCGGGTCCACTATAAGGCTTTGAACACCACATGTAAGTACACGGCCAACTCAATTCACCAAACACATTCTTCCAGGCTATCCGATTATATTCACGAATAAATGAACTGATCGAAAACAGTTGTGTATCGGTACATACGGTAGCGATTGCATGTGATACCTACTTTTATACGACGGCCGATATTATTTATTCCTGCGGACATCTAGTCGGCCGAGATTGGCTCGTGATAGGCAATTATCTGCGCTAGATAACATGACGGACAGTCTCTTTCGTTTTGTAATTAAAGACGAAACTTTTTTGCCCCGCTTCTATTATTGCCGCGGTTTATTTCAATTATTCAGCCTGATGATATTGGCCACGACCGACTACCGAAGTCCCACATCGTCACACGTTGCCAACATCGATACAAAAATCAATTTTGGCTCTATCTGACGAACAACTATCGGCATCGACCAATAAACGTTTGAAGTCGCAGATGATCGTTATAAAAGGGAAGAAGAAATTGACATTTTCCGAAACGCTAAACGTTCTATGAATGTATCATTAAAAGCCATTGATAAAGAGTATTTTTGTCGTAATTTATAGTAGCCAAACTTGGCGTATTTTGAATAAAATGCAGGGTATTGAGGAAATCTAAATTTTGTTATATATTTAAAGAGCACCCGAGATAAAAAAGTTCAGTCTCTCAGAGCCTCTGAAAGCGAGACATGGTTAAAATTTTCTAAGTTCAACATATTTCAGAGATCCCAGCCTTTCTACGAGAGACTTTTATTCATTCAGTCTCTCTGTGAGAGACTCGAATCTCTGAATTAACAATTTTATCGTTCGAGTCTCTCATACAGAGACTGTGAGAGATCCATAAAAACAACTAGGCAATAACTGAGAGACTGTGAAAGACTGTGAGAGACGCTCTCAGAGACGATGAAAAACTCTGAGAGACTGGAGAGAGACTGAAAGTTTTTGTCTAGGGCATTTGTAAAAGATGATGAAAAATAAAACACAATTGCTGGAAGTTTTAGAAAACTTTAATAGGAATAATCTGACAATATTTTTTCGATCGATCATTATCAAAAAGTTAAAAGGAAACTTCCCTTCATACCAGATGGTACTAATTGGTCAAATTGTTTGTTGTTGTCAATATATTTTAATTAATGTTAATTAGTATAAATGCGTGGCTATAGGTACACAAACACTACAAAGATTCTTTCGTATTACCCCGTGATGGGTTTTTAACACATTGCGATGTTAGTACGGTTTTGAATTACAAGTAAATTTTACCCTAGAAGTAAAAGTCAATTGCCTTACCTTCACAGTCTCCCCCTTTGCCTCTAAGAAGTCTAGAAATGGCTGAAACACTTGGTGCGGTGCTCCTATCACATATGCCTTCTTTGACCAGCCGATCTCTAATTTCCCAGCTGAATATTGAGGGATTTTCCCTTTTGTACTGTTCAATTCTACTCTCCACTTCTGGGGTAGCCACTCGCGGCTTCGAACCACCAATGACGCCGGGTCGGATGGATCCAGTTTCCTGTAAACAAAAAATTGTACTTGCAGAAGACCAGAGTTTTTCTTTTTAGTAGGTATAGTTATAACGATAGTTTGGGAGGTACAATCGGAGACAAGAGTACATAAAATTAGAAATTCGTGATTAATTAGGTTTTGCAGCATATCATGAAGTAAATAAATACTATCTATACTAAAGAAAAGTATACGGTTTGAGAGAAAATTTGGAATTTGACCAAAAGCTTTGAATAATATAAGAAATAACGAATAATAGGGCAGTGAATATGCCTTCAGTTCAACTTCGAAACAAAAAAATATTTAGTTTCAATCTCTATTAATAATGAGCGTAAAACTTTTTAATATGTTTAAATAATAATTAAAACTTTAAAATTGCATTTATTTCAGACAATTATAAATATTATCATTATATTATCAAGTAAAAACGAGATTTTCAGCTAATTTTTCATTTTTTCCTCGATAACCATTTAGTGAATTTGAATAACCTTACGCTAAAGTGATTCTCCAGAGTTCAAGTTACTTATTATAAAAGTTTGAAATTTCTGGTAGCTTTTTTTCTGTTAATAAAAATAAATTTAATCTGTTCGGTTAACGAATCTCCATAAAATGACGTGTAAAATTACAATTTTTTAAAATTTCAATAACTTTGTAACGGTTTAGTGAAGCAATTTGTAATTTTTACAAGAGTTTTAGAATTGAATGAGGAACGTTCTTCCAAATTTTTATTTGTCTTGTAGCATTTTGACATACCTCCCAAACATCCTTAATATTATAGTGTAACAGAATTCTATAAAAAGCAAAAGTTCATGCTCCATATTTTGTATGTATATGTATATGTTTTCAGCTGCTTTCTTACATCTTGCAAGTTTAATTTCAGAAAAGCACGTACAATATAGTTGGTTAAAAATATTCATATACTTCTAAGCGTTTCAGTGGAAACAGCGAATTGAAATGATTTCTGTATTACATACATAAGTACAAGTTTGCAGCAGTTGTTGGTGATGAAACAAGAAATATTATGGACAATACAGACGTATCGGTACGTTTTCAATTCAACCACGACTAATTCAGATGCTTATAAGTAATGCATGGAAGATTTTTCTCTATTGTAAAAAAGGAAAAAGATGCACACGGTCGTGGAATTCGCGGATTCTCTGCAACACCTTCAAACCGCATCCGATTCGTTATGGAGTGTAACCGCGTCAGGCAAAAACATCAACCAGATGCAATTGCACATCGCAAAAATCCACTACATGATTTAATAGTCGACGAAAAACAAGTCTGCACCAATCAATATAATGGAAAAACCGCTTCTAAAAAGTAATAATATAAAAATTCGTAGACTGAAGTCAGAATTATTAATAGTACATATATTGGCAAACATTTTTCTGTAGAAACATATGATAGCATTACTGATAATGTAAAATTTTCAAAAAATCACCCCAAAGTGTCAAACATTTAAAGCCGACCCTGTGATGATAGCCTCTACAAATCCCGGAAATAAGCCACGGTTATATATCTAGACATATTTTTATCAAATTAAGCTACGAACTATCTCACAAGTGTCAGATCTTCTAAACAATCGAAATCACACCGATAACAGTTTATTTATTCTGGAATTGTGATGCCACAGAGACAATTAGAAAAATAAATTTTTAATGTGAGGTTAGGAGTTTGTACTGCTGTAATACTAGTTAACCTTTTAAAATAAACATTAGATAACAATTTAATGTTTCCACACACAACCGCCTCCTACACTTTAGTGTTAACTAAATAAATCAATTCATACTCATAATTACATCCTAAACAAATGAGGTGCCTACAGAGCGTGCTTATTGCGAGTAACCAATAGAATGTAGGCACATCTCCCAGACATCTTCCTAAATTCGTTCATGGTAAAATGTTAGTATATTAGGGTAAATTTACCAGAGACATATTGCTATTATACGTTTATTCTCTGTAGCGATGTGACCTTCAGTTTGACCGGCGCAAAGTAGAAAAGAACAGCACTAGGCCAGAAAAGGAAGGAGACAACTCTCGGCCAAACTCTTAACCGGTGAGGAGCGTATAATCCGTACAGTACTGCACGGAAAAATTGACCATTTCATCCACTACAATTGCATTGCTCAAATGTGCTGTTATTGGTATCAATTACTATTGAAAATATCAACGAGATGCTTATTTATATTTGAAGACATATTAAAGGCTTGTTTTCGACTCGCACTACTATCATGATTGAACAAAACTTTTGGCAGATACTGTATGAAAAGGTATGTTTAATGAAAAGTATGTTTAATAAACAACAGTCCAGAGTATAATGAGCTTTTTTCTCCCTACCTACAATTTTGCCAACGCGCGTCCAAGACATTGAAAGGGGCACATCGCTAGAGAAAGTAAATGAAGTATAAGTTTATAGATTACGCCTTACTCCGTCGATTTAATAAAATTGTGAATTAATTGCAGATCAAAATGGTGCATTTACAATATCAGTAGGCTTTTTATCGTTTAAAATTTGTTATCGTTCAGATAATTGACTTTATCCGTTATTATTTTAGTGGTGTTAGTTCAACTAGTACATTTTTTTTTCTTTAGGTCACTATAAAAACCCACTTTAGGTACACTTGATTGAATTATTAATTAGCTATGATTTGATTGCAGAACCGCTCTAGTAAAAAAGTAATTAATGACTTAGGATTATTTCAGACAACTTCTTATTATAGGTTTATTAAATTAGCCGCCTCAAAATTAAAGTGTCTATGAAAAAAAAGCAGGTATTTTACCTACCTGATAGTTAATTAGAACTAGAGCTGTGGTAAAGATACCCAAAAGATATAAGTATTTTTTAAGTCAGGAAAAGATGATACCGATATTATTAGAAATTACGGAAAATATTCCCTACACCACCATCACTGGCGGCTTTGAAGAAACGAAGTGAAAATTCTGCAACTGTTTACTTTCTTTTGAAAATCAATTCAATCTTAAGGTCTCTCATAGAAGCAAACTTCCCGAGTAGCATTTAGAGTATGGGTGAAATATGGCCCAAACTTGTACGCCAGATTTTGAAGTACGGCCATATCTAAAAACACCTGATACGGCCCATATCTAAAATGTAACGCCTTGGCAGATATGGGCCGTATTAAGTAATAATTTCTGGCCCGGAACAGAAATCGTAATCAGGTCCATACATAAAATTAAATTTAGGCCCATTAACCTAACCTAATAACGGATTGAATAGGTATGTGAGAAAAGAGGGATGACTCCTCGAGCAACACAAGTCGTCAATATTAACTGTATATATATTAACTATAGGTTTATGTATACATAAACCTCAGCGCGTAATATGTTAGATATCTAACATATGTTTTACAAGTGACCCAAATTAGCCACTGACATATACTGTAGTTTTTATTTTAACAACAATCCTTTTCAAAGAATTATCACATAAACTACATGCATATTTTTTTTACATTTATAAATATTTTAACCAGTAAAAATGGTAAAATATTTTTTTAAATAGATAGAAAATTATCATTACTTTTTTAACAATGTTTGTTAATTTAATACAGAAAATTATTTTAGAAATATGTAAATACATACTTAAAATACAGGGTGTCTCAGAAGTCGCGCACCCAATTGTTGGGATCGAAAAAGAAAAAAATTCTGAGCCCAAAAATCCATGCTTGAAATTTTTTTGTAAAGTAGATAATTAGTAATTAATTAATGAAAGTAACCAATCAGAAGCGCGCTACAGAAGAATAAAAAGTGAGTGGGAAGGTGGTAGGGGACGCGAGAGTGAGACGCTAGTGATGCACTCGGCTCCTCACGTAGTAGAAGGGATAGGCGTACGTGAGACTGGCTGCATGTGTGAGTCCGTGTACAAGTGTAAGCTAGTGTCAGTGCGTCGATAACAATGCGCGTATGAATGTGCGTGAGGAAATTTTTATTTTTTNGTTAATAATAAAAATAGCGATATAATAATTAATTAATGTAGTAAATGACTTGATTTGGTGTACATAAGAGAATTCTTGTTATAGGTTTTATTCATCAAGAAACAATATTAATTATTTAAGTACGTAAAGATGTGGAAAAACTGTTTGACCTTCAGGAAAGTTGACCCGTTATTCGGTCATGCTCTCATAAACTTTGAGCGTTTCTTTCGCGGTGGACTGGAGACCACTAAGAAAGCAATTAACAGTGTGTATAAAACTTAGCCGACGAAGCCTAACGATTACTATAGGGCTGCAATCAATTCAGACGACAAAGGAATTAATAATTTTCTCTCAATTAAATTCCTGTTCGAAGGAAGAAATAATATCGAAGGCTATCGACCAACTCAAACGCGAATGGGACTTTTTTTTGTAAATGCAAAAACAGAAAAAATATCAAAACGTTGATTGTAGTAAGTAAATTATTGACCTCAAATTTTTTTCACCTCTTAGTTTCCATTTCTTCCCAGAACAATTGTAGAATTGTAAAAAAAAATCCAATACTAACTGGGGTAAAGGTTTTTTACTGTTTTTACCGACGTTTCACCCCAATTGCAAGACATCGTAGGACACTATGAAACTAAGAAAATTAAGAAAACGTTTGGTGATTCAAAAACCCACAGTTATTGAGAAAAACGTACTTAAAAGGGTCAGTCCGGTCCTGGTATAGGATCATGCAAGGAAATATGACATTGCTACGTCGCATTCAACCTCGCATTTTTTTGTGCTTTTGGACTCATGTATTGCTCATTACTTTTAGGGTTCCGTACGTCTGAATCAAGACACAGGATCACTCGTGTGTCTGTCTGTCCGTTTATTAAATTGGATTGAGTGTAACTGACGACGTTTATTTTACAGCACACTAAGAGTAATTCTTCGTTCTTTTACATTCTCTATAGATGTAACTGCTTAATTGTTGTCGGAATTTCTTTGTACGTTGCCAATTCACGCCCAGGGCCGGCTTCGAATTGCAACTTCTTGTGGTTTTCTTAGAAATTCGTTTGTAGAATGCAATTTTAGG